TATATAAGAATTTACAAAATTGGCTTGTGGCCACCCACAGAGACAGGTGTGAAAGAATACAAAAGGTCTGCATGCATCCTGGAGTTCTGAAGGATTCATCTGAAGGCCTGGAGCTCAGTGTAGTGTCCCATGTGAGCTTGTATACTGAAGCCAAAGAGTCTGCAATGGAAGGCTGAAGGATCTGTGCCGGAGGCTGAAGAGTCTGCACTGGAAGTCAGGAGATGATGTCCAAAGTGAAAATGAAGACTGGCGCTCCCCTAAAGAAACAGAAGCAAGCTTTCCTTGTTTTCCTTCTGTATCATTCTGGTGACCATTCTCCCTAGGGTGAGTCTTTCACACCTAGAACTATGCTGAGCCACTTTAGTTGAGTGTTTCTCAAATTGACACAATCTGTTAACTGTCACGACATAACACAATGGTCTCCAGTTCCTTACATTTTCGGGCAAATAACACAATTTCATTTTTTTCATTACGGAGAAATATCCCATTGTATATGTATATCCAGTCTCCAGTTGATGGGCAATTGGGCCATTTCCAAATTTTAGCTATTACAAACTGTGCCGCTATAAACATGGGTGAGCATGTATCACTGTGGTATGATTCTTTTAACTTTTGGGGGAAGTTACCCAGCAGAGGAAAAGCTGGGTCAAATAGGACTTCTAATTCTACTTGTTTGAGGTATCTCCATATTGATTCCTACAGTGGTTGCACCAGTCTGCACTCCCATCAACAATGGAGAAGGGTTCCTTTTTCTCCATAACCCCACCAGCATTTGTTATTTGTTGATTTCTTGATATCAGTCATTCTTTCTGGCATGAGGTGGAAACTCTGTTGTTTTCATCTGCATCAGTCAAATGACCAGGGATGTTAAACATTTTTTCATATATTTATTTGCTGCTATTATTATATATCTTCTTGGTGGATTGTTACTTTTACCAACATGTAATGACCTTTATCCCTTTTAAATTAGACTCGTCTGATTTTTTAGATATGAACTGGTTGATTTTGGATACCATTTGCATGGAATATCATTTTTCTCTTTTTCACTTTATGTATCTTTACACATGAGGTGTGTTTCTAGCAGGGAACACATTGTTTTTAATATACTCTGCCAGTCTGTCTTTTAGTTACAGAATTAAGGCCATTTACATTCAGGTTTATCATTGAAAAGTACGTGCTAATTTGTGTCTTTCTTTTTTTAGGTTTGATTTTATGTATGTGTTTGCTGGGGAATGAATCCAGACACTTTGCAGGGAGCTATATTCCCAGCCATTAAAAAAAAATTTTTTTTTTTTTTGAGACAGGGTTTTGCTAAATTACACACGTAAGACTTGAATTTGGAATCTCGTGCTTTAGCATTGTTATGGAGTGCTGGAATTACAAGTATGTGCCACTATACCTTTTATTGTTGCTTTATTAGTCAACTCTTCCTCTACTATGTTTAGTGCTCCTTTAAATATTGCCTTTAATGCTGATACAGTGGTCAGCTTTGTCAGTAATGTGTATTCCTTTATTTTCTGTTTATTTTGGAAAATCTTTGTTTTTCTTTCAATTCTGAAGGACAACTTTGCTAAACAATAATCTAGGTTGGTAATTCTTTTCTTTCAGAACTTGAAATACATTATCCCATGCCCTCTAAGCCTTTAGAATTTCTGCTGATATATTTACTGTTATTCAGATGTGTTTGCCTCTATTAGTGTTTCACCCTAGTTCTCTTTCAGTATTCTTTGTTCTATACTCTTCACATTTTAACTATGTGGCATGGGGAGGTTTTTATTTTGTCATGTCTTCTGGTCCATTAATATGTATTCTTTGCCTTACACTAATGCCACATTGTCTTGATTGTTGTAGTTTTATAAGTGAAGTAAATGAAGACTTCTGATTTTATTCTTCCATTTTAGTATTTAATATTAAACCAAATATTCAATAGTATATGTTTAATACCTGGCAATTCTAGGCCATTTGTGTTTCCAAATGATTTCAGAATGAAATTCTACCTCCAAAACATAATTCTGCTAAGATTTTGGTTGGACTGTATTAATTTCAGTTGATTCTGCAGATCTGTTGAAAGAAGTTAAATCTTCACAATACTTGAGCTTTCCAATCCATGGATACATCTTTCCATTTATTTGAGTCCTTTAAATGCAATACTTTATAATTTTCATTGTGGAGGTCTTAGATATATTTTCTAAAATTTATGCATATTTTATTGTTTTGAATATTAATATATTTAAATTTTTAATTTCCCAATTGTTTGTTGCTAATATTTAGAAATACATTCTGATTGATTTTTGAGAAACCACTTGTAAGTCTTCCTTTACAAATATTTCACTGAGGCTGATTGAACTACTCTACTCAAGCTTCCATATCAAAATAACCACAAACTGGGTGGCTTAAACAATAGACATTTATTTTTTTTATAATTCTGGAAGTCCAAGTACCACTAGGGCTGGTTCTTTCCACAGTCTATGAGGGAGAACCTATTCCTTGCTTCTCTCCTAGTTTCTAGTGACAGTCAAATATCCTTGATATATTTTGGCCTATAGATGCATCACTCCAATCTCTGCTTCCATATTTTTTTCAGTGATGGAAATGGAACCAAGGGTTTCATGCATGCTAGACGAGCACTTTACCACTGACCTACATTTCTGGGATCCTCTGCCTCTATCTTAACATGGTATTCTTCTTTTGTAAGAGTTCTCACATCTTCTTATAAAGACCAAGCATATTGAATTAAAGGTTTACCCTACTTTAGCATGACCTAACCTTAATGAATTACATGTGCCAAATAAGGTCACATTCTTAAGTACTAGGAGTTAGGGCTTCAACATTATCTTTTAGGGGCACAATTCAACCCATAGCACTATCTCAGCTCCTTCAGTGATATGTTGTTATACAGCTTTAACACAGATCTCTTAACACATATCTGGTGTTAAGTTTGGCTTTCAAGAATCTATAAAATACAAAGTACCTTGTACAAAGTTTACTTTCCTCCCAGGTCCCATCTGAACAGTTAAAACAATAGCAGCAGCAGCAACCAAAACACATTCTTTGTTTTCAGTCATGGGGATTTAAAAAATTAATTTTATTGCTATACTTTAGATAGACATAATGATCACATTCATCATAGGGAATTTGTACCTGTATCTAATATATCTTGATTTTTCTTTTTTGCCCAATCCCCTATTTGTTCAACCATTCTTCCCCACCTTACTTACAAAAGCTTTGTTTCTATTTTTTTCCCTTTTCTTCCTTTCCCCTTCCCATCACTTATTCATGGAGTAGGTTTTTAATTTATCATTCCAGAAAAAAGAATTTCAGAATGCAGTAGTGTAAGACAGACAAATTTGTGAGGCAGAGTTAACTCTGGGTAGCAAACCCAGGGATTCTCACATGCCAGGCAAATGTACTACAACTGAGCTACATCTTCAGCCCAGAGAAATGCATTTTTAATAATTGTCATTTCTTTGGTCTTACAAGGGGATCACAAAGTAAGACGTTAACATTGTTTTATTTTTGCTTTGAGTCAGATTAGGAGCTTTTCAGAGCTGGAGTGCCGAAAGCAGATGAGAGGTCTTTAAGTTCATAGTAGCTATTCTAAATACTCCTCCATAATCACTGACATTGGCTCTTTCCTGTTACTTTCCAAGTGGGAGCTCAAATTGCTTCATACCTCGACTATTTCAAGACCCTTGAAATATTGGAGTGGGTATGTCTTACCTTCTTTCCCACTCAGAATCATCCCATATATGCACTCCAGACTCTTCTTCTGAATAGATCAATGTCACATATTCCTCAGTAAAAACTTTCCACTGCTTACCAAATAAAACCTCATCCATCCCAGCCAACCTAAACCACAGTGAGCAAAAGTATCAATAGCTCCCACACAAATCTTGTACATTTTCTGTTCCTGGCTCTCTGCTGATTGAAACTGATTTTTTGGTTCTTTAAATATTATACATTTTCGTGAAAGCTTACTTTGAATTCCTAATTTCTCTATGAATCCTTTTCCAGCCTTATTACTTCTGCTGCCCTCAATCTTAAGCTAAGTCTCCTTATCATACATTCATGCCTCAGCTCCTCTATTTGTTTTGTTTTGTTTTGGTACTGGGGATCCAACTTGGGACCTTGCACTTGCGAAGTAGGCAGTGGAACCACTGAACTAAATCCCCACCCCTCTCAGCTCCTCTATTAAAGGCAGCCTTGGATGACAGAATCCTATTTTAAACTTTGTAGTATACTCCAGTACACAACCTGTCCCCTGCAGTGTTCAGTACAGTTCCATACCCAAAATATGCATTCAAAAAGAAAGTTTTGGTATTTTTTTACAGCTATTTTTATAGGTATTTTCTCTCCCTCCCTCTTTGTATTTCTCTGTCTCCTTGGAGTACTGGGGATTGAACCCAAGGAGCATTGAATTACACTCCCAGATCTTCTCATTTTGAGACAGGGTCTCACTAAGTTGCCCAGACTTAAACTTGTATTCTTCCCACCTTAGCCTCCAAAGTAGCTAGGATTATAGGCATGTACCACTATACCTAGAGAAATATTATATTTTCTATAAAGTCCTTGTTTTTATATATTACTTTAAATGTATTTTCATATATCATAAAAAATGCTCAGCTTGCAAAATTATTAATAATTTAAGGAGCACACTTTTTAAAACACAAAAATTTGCCTAGGAGAGATTTTTTTTGGTTTGTGGTTTTTTTTTTTTTTGGTACCAGGGATCAAACTCGGGTCCTTGTGCTTGCGAGGCAGGTGGCCGAACCACTGATCTACATCCCAGGCCCCTAGGAGAGATTTTTAATTGTTATTCCAAAATCCAGCCAAATGTTTAATCAAATACAGTAAAAATCTTATAAACAGTTGTAAAGGCTTAGTTTAAAAGCCAACTTTAAGCCAAGAATGGTGGCACGTGCCTACAATCTAAGCACTTGGAAGGCTGTGGCAGGACTGCCCTGAGTTTTAGGCCAGCCTGGGCTACATAGTAGTTCAAGAACAGCCTGAAGTACATGGCAAGGCCTTGTCTCAAAAAACAAAAACAACAACAACAACAACAAAAGCCAACCTTAGTAGACATGGAAACAGTACAGAAGGGGGTAGGTTTCATTTATTAATTTACTGATCAAAAATATTTAAAAAGAGAAGCAACTACAAAAAAGGAAAAAAATTCAGAAAATAAATTTAAAGTACTTCTCAAGGGCTATAGAAACCTTGATTACAATTCTGAGACTATCAGCTTCTTAAAAAGAAAAGGCAACATCAAATATTCTTAGCCCTTGATATTCATGTAGTCCAGAAGCAGAGCTATACCCTAAATCACAGCTTACAAATTTTCCCAAATACTCCTTTTATCATGATTTATATCCAGAGGTGTGAAATCCAGAGCTATTGACACTGCATACAAACAACAGCAAGACAAGAGGGTATTCTCCTTCCCCTTGCCCTTGCTCTAACTGGGAAAAGTCTCAATGCAAGTGCCCAGGCCCCCAAAGGAATCCAGTGAAAAGACAAATCAAGACAATGAAGGTCTAAGACAAGACTTTGGTTTTGAATAGTCCAGCATTAGGAAAATAAGTTGGTAGGTCTTCTTTGACATTTCTAATCAGGAGAATTTTGTTCCAATCTGAGAGCCAGTGTTGACACCAACACAGGGCAGCTCTGCAGCCTACCTTGGAAGAGCTCAGCCCTTCACTCCAATCCATGATTCATCTCGAACCCAAGAGCCCACATAACAAGCATTTGTGCTACTCCTGAAGCAGGCTTCGCGAGATAAGCATCCTCATCACTTCATTAGTACCTGCAAGAGGGCAAAAGAAGGATTTAATAGCAACAGAAGAATCATGGATTTAAACTAGAATTGATGCTTCTGTTTTTGGGAGGAATGGGGTTATCACAAACTTCCCTCTAAAATAGAGAAATATGACAGAATAAGAAATACTATTTAATTTTTTAAAAATGTCTTCTGATAAAAATGCTTGTATTTATAAAAGGCAGACTAACACCACCCTGAAAAAATTTACGTGTATAAAAACAGAAAAAATGCACAAAAGAAGTAAAGTAGAGCTAGGAGTGTAGTTCAGTAATACAGTACTTTCTTGGAATGGATGTATAAGGCCTTGGATTCACTTTCTAGCCCACAAATTTAAAAAATAAGAAGATATACCAAAGTGATCAAAATAATAATTCTGGATGTAGAAACATGAGTGATCTTTTTTTTTTTTTTTTTCTTTTCACATATTTTATAAGTTCCTTTGGTAGTCAGAAAATTGAACTTTAAAAGAAAGTATTTTCTCTGAAAGGAAAGGATCAAGGGGTGAATTGTTTGTTTCACTTTTAGAAGTGGTCTATAATGCAAAGAAAAATATAAACTCTTTGCAGAATTTAAAATTCCAGATTTAGCTAACAGTCCATGATGAAACAAAGTGATAGAGTGAGCAGTGCCCAAAATCCTTCTACTACCAGATGATAACATGACCCAAGATAAATGCTTCCCACTTAATATAGCCAAATTAAAAGACAGTGTTACAACAAAAATAGTTTCCATAGTCACAAAACCCGGTAAAGTTAATTTGAACACTCAGGATTAAGCTCAATAAATACATATTAAAGATAAGGCTGACAGTAGAAAACAGCACACTAAGCTTTAGAATCCTATGATACAGACATAACACTAAAGAAGTGGGGCTCAATATGTGGTTACCCCAAACAAGCAGCAGCAGACTCACTTAAAAACTTGTTAAAAATTCAAGTTTCAGTTCCAAGAGCCCACTGGAATAAAATCACTGAGGGTACGTGTAGGAGATATCCCTGCCTGGTACTAGTGGGCTATGAATGGCACATGCTTCTTGGCTTCCATAATTCAGCTATACTGTTTTACATCAGGAGTCAGACTAAAGCCCTGAGTTACTCAAATGGGCAGGTTAGATAGCAGAATTGGGCTAGTATTGCTCCTTTGCTCATGGCTGTCACCAAGGCCTAAGTCTTGGTCTATGAAGTGGCAGGACTCTGCTGAGTTATGTGCAGCTGAAGTCAGAGTGACTCCAATTAAAATCCTTTCCCCTGAACTATTGCTTCTCACTGACCTTGTGGGTTGCTTGCTAATTGTGCCTGGTCCCAGTACCATTTTCTTCTATCCTACCAAGATAAACAGTGCTGACTCCCTGACAGCCCTGCCTGGCACCATGCCAGATGTTCAGGCAGTATTTCACTAGATGCCTTCAAAGCATATCCTGCTCCCTATTCCTTCTCACGACTGTATTCAATAAATACTGGATGTGCTTGGGGGCCTTTGACTTAGCTGCCATCAGCAGCACTGATGAGGACCCAAGACTCAAGTTTCTCCACTCTAAGTCTCATTTCTGTCTGTTCTTAATTTGCCTTGTGCTGTAGCATCTCACAGGCCAGAACCCAAGGCAGAGGTCCTGATAACATCCCCTTCCCACTCTTTACAGGTGGGGCCTAGTAATCTGTTTTAACGAGTTCTCTAGCAGCTTCTGCTATGTGCTCAGGTTTGAGAAGAATGCTTTGAAAGAGGCAGAGATGTCAATGCTCAAAGCCTTCTCCTATATCCCTGTTAAAGTAGCTCCACATTGCTTCACCGAAAAGTCACTTAGAGAGGCCTCTCCCCATCTGCTTTTTCAAATGTGTAACAGACCCAGCTACCAACATTAGCTTCCAATAAGACTAGCTGAAGAGTGGAGGTGGCCATATTCTAAGCATGACTCCAATGGCTTATGCATTTTACAAGGAAATACTTATATACTGACATTTTATTATATTGAAAAGTATGCCACCAATATTGACACAGAGATCATCTAGACCATAGGTTAGAATTAATCTGTAGAGCTGCTGGTACTCATACAGGCTCCTATTTGTCTAATATGTTACTATATAGAATTTTTTAGATCCTTGAGGACCAGGCACTTGGTAACAGTGAAGAACAGCCAGTTATAGGTTTCAATAGGATTTCTCATTTGCTATCTCAATTTTGACTCTCAAATCCACAAAGAGAAAGAGCAGAAGTAGAGTAATATGCTACCTTATCCATGGAAACAAGGCAGAATTCGTTTGCTCCCAGGCTAGTGCTTTCTAATGCTACAATAGGGCACTTCCTGAACAGAGGTAAGGAAAGAAAGGAAGGAGGAAGCCAAAAGATAGTTAGGGCTTGATGAGACCCAGAGGACCAGCCAGCAGAGACAGACAGATAAGAAAAGCAGTAATCCTGGAACTGTCCTGAAAAGAAGAGAACAATCTCTGGAAAATTTTACCTTCTAGAATTTGGTGGACCCTGGAGTCCCGCATGTACTGCTGAACAGCATAATCTTTCAGGTAGCCATACCCTCCGTGCATTTGTACAGCCTGGTTGCAGATCTGCAAGGAGAAAAAAAATCTCTTCGATTATGGGAAGGCTGTGGAGTAAGTGGTTTTCCTCCCCATCCTTGTTCCAATCTTACATACTGCTGTAAACTAAAGGAGAACAATGCACGGATAACCACCTAACCCTAAAGAGGAGCACTGTATTCTACATGGTCAGAGACAATAACAAAAGTTCACCTAGTGAATTTATCAGTTTCCACTAGAGAAAAAACTCAGACCTTTGTCTTTCTCATTTATCACCTATTGGTAAGAAGTTGTCACAACCACCCTGGGTGAATTATATGAAGCTCAGGTGCCACTAGTTTTAATGCCACCTCTGAGTGGAAATGGCTTAGCCCCGACCATGCATGTAAACATAACAGTGCTAAATTTGAGCTATAGGTATTGGTTGCTCTGAACCCCAAAAGGCAGTTCTCATCTAGAATACAAATGGATGTCAATACTATAACAAAGTGTGGCTAAAAACCTAGCTAGGGATCACACAGGAGTCTCACAAGTTAATTAACTGGATAAATTATATTTTCCCCCAATTTTTTGTTTTTTGGGTTTTGTTGGTGCTAAGAGTTCTATAAGCCAGGGCCTCACACATACTGGGCAGGTGCTCAAACACCCAGCCACCCCACCCCAAACCCTTCTAAATTAATTCATATCCATAGATTCCCTGGCAACTCTTGCAGCAACCCAGTTGGGTTCTACATTCCACAGCTGACTTATGTCTCTCAACATTCCTGGCCCAGGGGCTGCTTCCTGATCATCCCAGGTGGGCCAGAGGGCTTAGTGCTTACAGCAAAACATTCCTCTGTAGCAAAGAGCTTGGCCATGGAGCAGAGCGTCACTGCATCTTCCCGCTCTTCTTGCAGAGCCACTGCTGCAGTACGGATCATCAGCCTTGAAGCCACCAGCCGTGTTGCCATATCTGCCAACTGGAATTGCAAGTACTGCAGTAACAGGGGAGACAAGAACCAGACAAGACAGAGAAGCTTAGACAGGCACCTGACCTGGGCCCCAAGTGATCCAATGGTTCAAAGGCTCTTGCCTTCTCTACAGGAAAAACTCACTGCTAAGTTCATGTTGCTTGCCCTACACTTTGACAGTACTGCCTCCTGAAAAAGATGATTGGTGGAAATAAAGCACAAGCTCTGGCTAAGATGGTGGCAGACTCCACAAGGGATATTGTGGCTTCTCTCTCCTAGACAGTGTGGACCCTTAAGCAGGTCTAAGCAGTGGAACGCAAATGCAGAGACACCTAGGACTTTACCTGGCTCCTGGCCAAAGGTACTCCAAACTGCTTCCGGACATTGAGGTGGTCTCGGGTTAGGATGACTGAAGCATGAGCAGCCCCCAGGGAACAGGAAGCTAGAGGGGAAGAATGCTAACATTTCAACTGAGCCTGAAGACAGTATTGCTGGCTCCAGCCCACTCCCTCCTTGCCCAACTCTTTTCTCTCCTCACCAACATTGATCCGCCCTCCGTTCAGTCCTTTCATAGCAATGAGGAATCCCTGTCCCTCACTTCCAATTCTGTTGGCCACAGGGACAGCACAGTCTTCAAAGATTACAGCTCGGGTTGGCTGGGAGTTCCATCCCACCTGGCAAAAATCAGAGACTGGATGGCTGCCTAAAAGTCCAACATACAAGGTGGCATTCCCTGTAGATGGAAGCCTGTGAAATATGGGGTCCAGCACCCCGGGACTTTGATCATGAGAATTTAAAATGAAGAAAAAGTTCAGATTTAAACGCTTGTCAACACTCACAAACATACTCATTTCAACTAAACATCATGAAAAAAATCTTAAGAGAATCTACTTGCTAATGTCTACCTTACAAAATCTGTAGTCAGATATGCTAATGTTGCATCATGAGGCTGGTCCTAAGTAGGACTGGGACAGGATCTGTCCTCACTTTTGGTATCTTTGTGAGTATTCTGTATGATACCACTGCTTTTACAACAATCATTTCCTCATACAAAGCATTCAACAGATTTCTTTAGTTGATAAAATAGCCCTTTTACACAAGGCCTTCTATCATTTCCTGACACCTTCTGACACCTGGCCCAAACTTCACTGTCATGACCCTAAATGGCTGAAGCATTTATGGAGTGTCAAACAAGTGTGAGAGATTAAGAAAGAAAGACAAAGAGATTTAAGGTATAGATGGGGCCAAGATGGGCTCTTGACTCTTGATAGGAAGAAAAGACTATCAAGCAAATGACCTCACTTTTATTTATAGTGGTAGAGGTAAAAGGGGCTGGTCTGTAACTAGAGCCAGAAGAGTAGCTAAGGTCTGCAGGATATCATGTTTGGTTTTCTGGCAAATGGGTGGGGAGGAAGATAGTCCTCTTTTGACCTAGGCCTTGTTTTATCCTGCCATCATGTTGTCTGTTTTTTTCCCTGAGGGAGCCTGTCTCATTTTTGGGAGGAGGCAAATTAGGCCTGGCCATAGTGATCTACAGCACATTGCTCCCAGCACTTCACCTCCTATATCCATTCTGGTAAGCTGGCCTGCACCTGGTGCTTTGAATTCTCAAAAATACTCTCTTTTGTTCTGCTCTCTCCATTAACTTCTCTTCCCCACTTTCACCACTGTCTACCTTAAATGAGGCCTCCTGCCACTGGAATTGTCCTTGAATTTGCTCTCTTTAATTTTCAGTCTGTACCACCATTTGAAATCTTCTAACACTGACCTGTGTAGTGGTTACCTGTGTACCTTATTTCTCACAAAAGAATATAAACATCTAAGGCAAGAATTGATCATAAAGGTCTGACCTTAAGGTCTAATTATTAAGGAACAAATAGCTGCTGCCTCCTAACTTTTGCTAATTCTGTGCTGTGAAAATATCCACCTTCTTCCCCTCTGCAGAGAGAATTTTTCTCCTAATCCTGTCAGAAACCCTGGAAAACTACAGACAAAAAGGGCAAGTGATCCCTCTACCTTTTGGGAGACCCTACACACCTGAACCATTACTACTATAGCCCAATCCTACTGTCAGTCTTATCTCTTCTTCCCTCTATTATTTTGATACCTTCTTGTAAGAGTCTTCGCTTCCACCACTCTGTAATAAAACATCATTCTATATAAAACCTTTAGCAATTAAATCCAAGATAAAACAAGTTCTCATTACTCCCCCATAAAGTCAGTGCCAAACTAGAGGTTTCCAACTCTCAGCAGCATAGTGTGTTCAATATGTCAAGTGAAAGCACACTATTGCAGGAAAGATTAACAAAGAACAGGGAAAGAGTAAGGCCTGCTGCTTTGACCACCTGTTCAACTGCATACCACATTATCCTTTCTTGCTTACTATACTCCAGCCATATCATTCCCTTTTCTTTTTCACCTCTTCAAATAGGCTAATCTCAGTCTCACCTCAGGCCCTTTCGTTTCTGCTTTTATTGCTGTCCAGGATTCTGAGATAGCTTCTTCCAATACTTTACATCTCATCTCAAATGCTGTGGCCTCAGAGAGCCCTTTCCTATGTAAAAAAATTCCCCTCAATCAGAACTATGTCACTCTGTTTAATTTCTTTCCTAACAGCACAATGGAAGGTAACTCATTTGTGAGACAGATGCCTACACATGTGAAATATGAATTCCACAAGGTGAAACACATCTTTCTCATGGCTGTACCAGTAACTCAGAAGAGTGCCTAGCACATGAAGGGAACGTGCTAGCTGCCTAGTGAATGAAGAGGCAGTTTTCCAAAGTTCTCTTACATTTAAAAATATACAAAGCAAAACAAAAATGAAAACAACACACATACGCCCGCGCATGCTTAAGGGGAGAGATAGTAAACAAAGAGACCTAAAATACACTTTCTGCTTATTTAAAATATTTGTAATTTTTTTCTAGACTCTCAACTTGTTCTGTCAACAGACAGCCAAAAAACGGAGTGGATACTACCTATGTGAGTTAAAATAATATCATTCTCAGAGATTTGGAAGGCCTCTCTGAGATCTGCTCTCCCACTGGCCTGCTTGGGCCCATTCGGCGGGACCTAGTAGCCGCGCCCTCCCCGGTCTGCTCCACCATCACCTCCAGCAAAGAAGGTGGCTGCAACTCTGAAACCACCCCCGCCCCCAGACCTCCTGATTAGGCCAGTCCTTGGACTCTCTCTGCAGAGGCATAGGTGGTCCGTCATAAAGGGTATTTTTCTGAACTCCCAACTTTGAACATCGTTAAAGAAAGAGCAGGGGAAACATGTAATAGAACTGGAGTTCAGCCCTGCAGGTTGGGGAACTCAATCTGGGCCTTGCAGCCTGAGGTCAATCTGAGTCACAGGGATCTGCCATTGGCTAGCTGAGATCAGGGGACTTGGTTCTGCACATGGTATATTATGACAGCAAAGATATAGTCTGAAAGAGGCCTTTCAAATTCATTTTTTTTTCTTTTCCTCATTCCACTCTGCGAATTCTTATTTCTGTCCTCTTTCTCCAACTCACTCTCTTGCTCCACCATATTATCCCTCATCTCCCTTTCTGTTCCTGCCCTAACTCAGACTTCTTCTTTTATCATTTTTTTCTATTTTCTTTATGTTCTTTTTTTTCTGTCATTTTACCTCACTCATGGGTCAATAATTTCAAGGGAAAGTGAGTCCCTATTACTGTTAAGGGAATATATTCTTGTCCTTATTATTGCACTCTGTCTATCACTTTTGAAGTCAATAGTTTCGTAAAGATTGTATGGTCATTCTATGTCCTCTGGCTTCACTTGAAACTTTCTCCAATTTTTTTATTTATCTACTCCTCTCATCCTAATGCTGTCTAAGCCCCCATCCTAAATAGTAAAGATGCTATATTGAAAAGTGTATTCACTGCAAACATATTTTAGGCTGCTTCTTGATTTTAATTTAATTCACGTGGTTTAAAGGTGATAGATTAATGACTACCACAAGTGGTCACTTTGGAAGTTCTGCTTAATCCTATTGTGCTGCTGACTGTATCAATTGGGATAAAGGATTGTGATTGATTTAATGAGTTGTTTTCTCCGATATTATGAAAATGAGAATGTCTATGAGTCATTAGAGACTCAAAAGCTAAAGTGCAACTTTATCAGGAAGATTTAATAACCCAGACATTTAACCAAGGACAACCCAACAACAAAAATAAAAATGAGAAAACACTTATGCAAGACACAAAAACAGACTTCCAGTTCACCAATGGCAAACAGTAGGGCAAATAAGGATGAAAAGTCTGATAGTGAACCAGCAGGACACCCTGAACCCAAAGCACAGGAAGTAACAAAACAGATCAATCAGGCTCTAGAAAAATTCAAAACAGAAATAATTTCCCAGATAACCATAGAGATGGTAAGCAAAATGGAAGTCATTATTCGAGACTTTAGAACAGAAACAGAAAAAAATAGATGAGCTCAGGACTATGATAGAAGCCATGAAGGCCCAGAACAAGAAAGAAATGGAAACAATGAATGCCCAACAGAGGAAAGAAATGGAATCCATAAAACAGATTCAAACATATCCAGGAGATTAAAAACTCTATTGAAAGTGTATGCAACAGAATAAAAGACTGAAGACAGAATCTCAGATATAGAAGATAGGATTGCAGTCAGTAACCGTGAAAACACAAGTCTCTTAAAAACAGTAAGGGATCATGAGAAATGGATCCAACAACTCTTAGATGATGCAAAGAAGAATAATATAAGACTGATAGAAATCCATGAAGTAGCAGGAGAAAAAACAAATGACTTAAAAAAGCTGTTCACAGAATTAATGACAGAAAATTTCCCAAACAGAAGGGAAGAATCAGACATACAGATGAGTGAGGCATATAGAACTCCAACTAGCCACGATCAAAAAAAATCTACAACTAGACATATAATAATCAAGATCCCACAAATCCAACAGAAGAACAAAATACTACAAGCAGTAAGAGAAAAGGAACAAATTACACACAAAGGAACCCATCAGAATCACAGCAGACTTTTCAACACAAACCCTCAGGTCAAGGAGAGCCTGGAGTGATGTATTTCAAGTCCTAAAGAAAACAACCTCCAACTTAGATTGATGTATCCTGCAAAACTCTCTTTCAAAATGGATGGGGAAATAAGATACTTCCATGACAAAGAACACCGGAGAAACTTCATGAACACCAAACCATCATTATAAGGAATTCTAAACAGTATCCTATAAAGAGACAATGAAGGTTACAACACCGTGAGGCCCAACAGACCAAATCAAACAGGAAAGGCAAGAAACTAGAGAGGGGGAAAAAAGTAAAAAGAGTCAACAAAATGACAATAATGTGGCAATAATAAGTCAGTACATATCAGTTATAACCATCAATGTCAATGGCCTCAATTCACCAATCAAGAGAAATAGACTGGCAGAATGGATTAAGAAGCAAAATCCAACAATATGTTGTATACAAGAAACACACCTAGTGCAAAAAGAAGCCCATAGACTGAACGTGAAAGGATGGAAAACAATTCTCTATGCAACAGGAGCCCAGAAAAAAGCAGGGGTAGCAATCTTATCCACAAAGTTAATTTCAAACAAAACTGATTAAGATAGACAAAGAAGGCCACTACATCCTTGTAAAGGGAACAATTCAAGAGGAAGAGATGACAATCATAAACAT